GCCCCTGAATTGCAGCGTCAGAGTGAAGATTCCACAGGGTGAGGTACTATTTGCAAAACGCTTAGTATGGGGCCCAGAAACGTGTGAGTTAAGTGCGGGTTCCACAGATGCTGCTACCGGTGTAGAAGGGGACTCAGTGGGCGAGGAGCCCCAGGACCTGACCCCACCACGGCCCAGCTCAGCCGCAAGCCCCACTCCTATCCCCACCCTATCACATTTGGGGGAACTGAGGCACGGCAGGGGGTGGGGAATGGTGCCAACTATTCCTGCTGTGTGACTTCTGGCAAGTGTCCAAATCTCTCTGTGCCTCTGTGTCCTCAGCAGTCCGTGGGCATAACACCTGCCCCTGAATTGCAGCGTCAGAGTGAAGATTCCACAGGGTGAGGTACTATTTGCAAAACGCTTAGTATGGGGCCCAGAAACGTGTGAGTTAAGTGCGGGTTCCACAGATGCTGCTACCGGTGTAGAAGGGGACTCAGTGGGCGAGGAGCCCCAGGACCTGACCCCACCACGGCCCAGCTCAGCCGCAAGCCCCACTCCTATCCCCACCCTATCACATTTGGGGGAACTGAGGCACGGCAGGGGGTGGGGAAAGGCACCTGGGGAAGGTCCCGAAGGCCTGCCCTGTGGGGCTGGGGACCCCACCCTGGGGGGGGCCCTTCCAGCTGGTCAGCTCAGCCCGGAGCCCAGCTCCATGTCCCTTTCTGTAAACAGGAACCTCTCCTGGTCCACAGAGCCCTCAGCTGATGGGCGTGGCAGCCCCCCCAGGACTCTCCCCCTCAGCAGCAGCCGTCTTGGAATCAGAAATGGGGAGGCTGCAGGATGCAGGCTCAAGCTGGAGAGAGGGCCCCCTCCACCTCAGGCTGGGTGGCCTTTATCCTCAACACCCTGCCAGGGACCCACTGAATGGGGAAGGGGATGTGGCAGACCTAAGGGTGGCTGGGAGGAAGCACCAGGAGGTGGCTTGCAAGAGATCTGAGCTCCAGTCCAGAGGGGCCACCTGGTGCCCATTTGGCTCCCAGCAGTGGCCTCCCCTCTGAGCTCCGCCTCCTTCCCTGGAAAAGGGGGAGCAGGCCTGTCTGCAAGCTCCCAGGAGGGTCCCGGGCCCACCAAGGCACAGGGTAGCCCGCATCGGGGGAGGGCCATCATCCCCAGTTTACAGAGCAGGACACTGGGGCACAAGGGAGGCCCAAGCCACAGGGCACCCAGTTCAGAGAAGGGAAGCTACTGGCCAAGGTGGCACGGTGGAGTTTGAACCCCCGTCTCTACTGCCTCCCTACCCAAGTCTCCCTGAGGGCAAAGCTGGGGCAAGCAGCGTTTGTTGACTGAATAACTGAAGGTAGAATGGGGCAGGAGCCAGCTGTGCGGGACCCAGGCTCCCAGCCCCCGCCACCGTGGGGCACCCCAGGCCTGGCTTTCCCAACTTAGGGAGCAGGATAGGGAGGTGACGGGGTTGGAACCCAGGCTCTGCCATCTCCCAGCGGTGTGGCCTTGGCAGTGACCTCATTCCTCGGAGCCTCTACTTCCTCATCTGTAAAGTGGGGAGAAGTTCAGGACTGCAAGTCTGTGCAGTTCTTAGCACATGCCCGGCGTGGGGTGCTAGATAGAGACTTTGAAGGGGAGCCTGGGCCTCAGAGGACCCAGAGCTAGGGATGAATGGCCTACAAATTTCCAGAATCTGACACTCGCCCCCCACCCCCCACCCGGTCCTTTCTGCCCGCCACCCCCCAGTCCCATGCTGTCCCCCACAGCTTAATTCCCACTTGGGAATCTTATCACCTCTGTGCTCAAAAGGCCCCAAGCGGCTCTCTCTGGCACCAAGCTTTGCCCAGCTGTGCCCCCCCACTCCACCGCCCCTCTGATCTCCCTTCCAGCCGCTCTGGCCATCCTTCTGTCTCCTGAAGAGGCTGTGCTCCACACACTCAGGGCCTTTGCACACACCATCCCTTCCGTCCAGATCTCTCTCCTCCTCTCTCGGGGGCTCCCTGCTCATTCTCCTGGATTTCCTGGGGCCCCTAAGCTCCAGGCCCCTAAGTTCCCTTCCCATGGTTGTCATCACACACTTAGCAGTGACATGCTAATTAATGTCATTTGACAAACTCCACAAGAGCGGGTCTGTCTTGGTCACCATTGCATCCCCATTACCCACCAGGGGTCCTGGCAGGTGGACAAGAGGAGGTCATGAAGGCAGATTAAAGGATATTAGGATGGGGGTGTGGATGGATGGACAAATGAATGGTGAATGGGTAGTTAGATGAATGGATGTGCGATGGATAGGTGGGTAGACTGATGAACGATGGATGGGCAGGTGGATGGGTGGGTGAGTGGATGCATGGATGGGTAGATGGATGGGTGGGTGGGTAGGTGAGTGGATGGATGGATGGATGGGTGGATTGGTGGCTCTGTCTCCAGGTCTCTGAAGTAAGAGTTACAGGCAGACCAGAGTGGCTTTCACTGCCCACACCCTTACCAGGTCCCTCCACAGCCTGGGACAGAGCCTGCTGACAGCAGAGAAAGCACAGCCCCTCCCCAGAGCCAGACCCTGGGTAGGGGTGTGGCCCAGCCTGGCAGGGATGTGGTGAGGCTTGGGGTGCCTTCCTTGGGAGGGATGCCTCCATGTTTGTGGGAGGGGTTGAAGGAGGGTCCTGGGGAGAGATGGGGGTCTCCCTGGGAAGTAGAAATCATGTGAGGGAAGGTCAGGAGAAGAGAGTCGGGTGCCAGAGCAAGGAGCTGGGCATGCGGGAGAGGTAGGGGCTTTGAGGTCGATAAAGGGGCCTGAGAGACAACTGGGGTCTTCTCAGGAAAATGAGGACGAGAGACGTTGGGAGACCGAGAAGTCAGGCCGTCTTTCAGGACAAGTTAGGAGCTATTTGGAGAAGAAAACAAAGAGCTTTTTGCCAGATATCTGGGGGTATCTCGAAGGACAGAAGTTTCTGGCATTGGGGAGATAGAGTGTTTCCAAAGAGAAGCTGGGGGTATGTTTAACAGAGGAGCTGGAGTGTGCTTTATCTCAGGATAAGATTGAGATTCTGGGAAATGTCAGGGGATTCGGCCCCCCACCCCAACAGGGGCACAGCCAGGGCCTGGCTGCCTCTTCCTCCCGCCACGGGGAGGCCAAATCCGGTGCTGCCTTGGCTTCCCCCCGCAGGAGACTGAACCCAGACCCCCACCCCGAGAGGGCCTTGTAAGGCGCAGGACGGCTCACGCGCCCCGTGGTCATTCCCAGGTTTAATTACAAACAAGAGTCCAAGTGTCCAGTGCAGGTTGACAGCTGGGAGGGCGGGGGCCTCACGACCCCCCCCCCCCCGGGTCCGTTGTCTTGGGGTTGCCTGGATACCCCCCCGTCATCCCAAGGCTGCCCCCCACTTCCACATCAGCATTTGCCCTGGCCTGAGGGCCCAAAGCACCTCGATTCTCCCCCCAAAAGACAACTGTGCACTAATTTTTCAGGCGGAAAATCTGAACCCGGCCAGGACAGGAATCCATCTCCATGCCAGGGAACTGGGGACCCGCTGGTTCCAGGGAGGTGAGCTGACGTCCAGCCGGGAAAGGAAACGGTGCCTCCTTGCCCCATCAGGAACCTAGGCCAGGGCTCCGAGATAGATGGCTGCTTTTTGATATACTTTCTTTAAAGGCGAGAAAAGGCTCTGTCTTTGGTATGTGTGCCCTCACTCCAGGTGAAGGCTGGCGGCAGGCAGAGGGCTCGGTGGGAGAAAGGGGTCGTGGGCTCCGTCTCCTGGCGGGCTTGACCCAGCCCAGCCCAGCCCAGGGCCAGCTGGAGAAGGAAGATTCCAGAGACCCACGCGGAGGAAGGAGAGACAGCGGCGATTCCGGCCCGACCAGGGTCCAGAGAAAGGCTGAGGGCCCCTAAGGCCACCACAGGGCCATCGGGGGGAGCGGGGACAGGAGCCACATGCTGAGAGCCACAACCTGGGGGAGAAAGAAGGAGAGGCCAAGGCTCAGCAGAGACAGCAACCGGAGACCCGGCTTCAGGTGTCAGAGACCTCAGTTACAAGGCAGCAAAGTGAGCCAGCGTCAAGCCTCAGGCTGAGGGCCAGGGTTCGAGTCCCAGCTCCTCCGTGGTCTTGCTGTGTGACCTAGGGTAGTCCCTTAACCTCTCTGTGCTGCTGAGAACGCTATTAACAGTGCCTTTGTCAGCGGTGCATGGGAGTCAGTGAAGACGTGGAGAGGGGATGAGCTCAGGGCCTGGACGCAACAGCTGCTGCGTTAGCAGCTATGACTGCTGCCATCAGTGTTGCTTCTCGGGTCACAAACAACTTAGGGAGTAGAAGGGAAGCAGGTCAGACCCCGGCACGTGCACACACATGGCCCCACGGTGCCACAGATCGTTTCAGGTGTGCCACAGGCCACCCCCATCCCTGGAGCCCTGCCCCAGATTGGGAATCCTGTCTCTGCCTGCGGTGGTGGCCGAGGCCTGGCTGGGGGCAGGGAGCAGGCCAGCGCTGAGTGGGGAAGGAGGCAGGAAGAGACTGTTGTCATGGGGACGGGAGAGCAGCCCAACCTGGCCCAGAAGCGCCTCTCAGCCTTTGGGGAAATTCCACCAACCCCTTCCCTCTGCGAGCTGAGCCCCCGGCTCACAGCTTCCCTGTATCCCCGGGTCCTGCCTCTGTCTGCTCCCCAAAGACTGTGGCTGCCACCCAGACACCTCTGCGCCCCAGCTCAGCCGCATCCTCCCCTGCCTAGCCAGGCCCCCACCTCATTCCAGCCCCGCCAGACCCACCTGCTCCGGGGGCTTTTTACCCCCAGTTAAACACAGAGTTACCCTAAACAACTCAGAGCACGACTGCTGATGGGGACAGGTTTCCTTTGGGGGTGATGGAATGCTCTGGAATTAGATGGGGGAAGGTGGCACAGCTCTGTGGAGACACTGAAACCCACTGAGTTGTGGGTGAATTCTGTGGCATGTGCATCTTAGTGTTTAAGATGAGAAAAGTCTGGCAAATGGGGGCTGGGAGCCCACGGGGCCGGACGCACCTGGCTCAGGGTTCCCGCTTGACGACACCACGCAGGTGCAGCTCGCTCTCGGCTGCCACGATGGGCTGCCCGTTCTGCAGGTGGTAGTCGATCAGGTGGCTGATGCTCTCGAAGAGCACGTCCTTGGTCCGCACCTGTGGGGCCACAGGCCTCAGCATCACCACCACCAGGAGCTTGTCGGAGAGGCAAACTCTCAGGCCAGCCCCAGACCTGCTTACGGGGAGCTGCGTCCTCACGAGCCCTCCGATAGCTCGCGCTCAAGGCTGAGAACCACTGGGTCAGAGACTTCAAACACAGAATCAGCCTCAGAATTCCAGAACTACGTGTGGACACAGGCTCCAAAAGCACCAGCGCTCTGGGGCCACGCTTCCTGTAGCGGGTTGAATGGTGCCCCCCCCCCAAAAAAAATATATGTCTACGTCTTAACCCCTGAAACCTGTGAATGGGCTCTTGTTTGGAAAAGGCCTCTTTGCAGATGTGATTAACATGGGTTCACCTTGATGGATAAGGAAGATGTGGTCCACAGGTACAACGGAACACTACTCAGCCATAAAATAGAATGAAATAACGCCATTTGCGGCAACGTGCGTGGACCTAGAGATTATCACACTAAGTGGAGTAACTCAGAGGGAGAAAGACAAATATCATATGATAGCACTTCTATGTGGAATCTAAAATATGATGCAAATGAACTTATTTACAAAACAGAAACAGACTCATAGACATAGAGAACAGGTCTGTGGTTGCCAAGGGGGAGCGGGGTGGGGGAGGGAGGGATTGGGAGTTGGGGATTAGCAGATAACCATTATATAAGTGGAGTAACTCAGAGGGAGAAAGACAAATATCATATGATAGCACTTCTATGTGGAATCTAAAATATGATGCAAATGAACTTATTTACAAAACAGAAACAGACTCATAGACATAGAGAACAGGTCTGTGGTTGCCAAGGGGGAGCGGGGTGGGGGAGGGAGGGATTGGGAGTTGGGGATTAGCAGATGCAAACCATTATATAGAGAATGCATAAACAACAAGGTCCCACTGTAGAGCGCAGGGGACTATATTCAATATCCTGGGAAAACCATAATGGTGAAGAATATAGGAGAGAATGTACATGCGTATGTATAACCGAGTCACTTTGCTGTACAGCAGAAATTAATACAGCATTGTAAACCAGCTACACCTCAATTTAAAAATTAATTTTAAAAAAGAGTAAAGAAGGATGAGTTCATCTTGGATTACTCAGGTGGCCGCAAATCCAGTGGCCGGCATCCTTATAAGAAGAGAAAAGGCTTGGACACAGAGGCACAGGGAGGGGCCACGAGAAGACAGAGGCGGTGACTGGGGTGATGTGTCCACAAGCCAGAGAACAAGAATTTCCGGCAAGCATGAGATGCTGAGGGGGAGGCCTGAACCCAATCCTCCCTCAGAGCCTCAGAAGGAACCAGCCAGGCCAACGCCTTGGTGTCAGACGTCTGGCCTCCAGAGCTGGGAGAGAATAAATCTCTGTGGTTTTAAGCTGCCCAGTTGGTGATCATTTGGGAGGGCAGCACTAGGAAATGAATACACGCCAGCAATCTTGTAGACATGGATCTGCAAATCAGAACCACCAAATCTAAAAGCCACCTGCATCTTAGAACGAGAAAATCTTAGCATCCTGCGTATAGACCTGGACGCAACACACACCTGCTGGCCACCAGCTGCCAGACACTCATGGGCGATGCCAGACTCGCTGGGCACAAATCACCCGGGGAGCGGGCCGGCGATGCACATGCCTGGGCCCACGGCAAACCACCTATCTCCCAGGCACTGGGGACAGGACCTGGGAACCTGCATGTTAGCCAAGTATGTAAGGAGGTTCTGAACCTTCTACAGCGTCTCTCATCCTGGAGATCTGTTTACCCGAGAGGGGATTAGGCCTAGGGGAGAGCTGACAGCACGCCAGGCTGAGGTCCCAGCTGTGAACACTGCGATCAGACACGAGGAAGGAGGTGGCTCAGGGAACTGACAGAACAGGGGCCTGGAGCCGTGGCCCCCACCTGGGCCAGGCCACACAGTTGCCACCCCAGTGCACCCCGTGTAGGGCATGGAGCACATGCAGCCCCCCAGGGCGGCGCCAAGGATTCAGCTGGAGGTGGTAAAAGCACTCGGTAAACTCTGAGAAGGCCCTTAACACCCCACACTCCTTCTCACCAGGGAAACGCCCTACAAAGCCCAAGGCCCTTGGACAATGGAAAACCCTTCAAAACCCTAGCACTCCTTGTAGATTGGAAAATGCCTTGTAAACCCTAACATGCTTTAGGAGCTACAGAATATGCCAAACCTCACTGACTCAAGGAAGCTGCAAGATGCCTCACAATTTATGTACCACAAGGAGAGGAAAAAACCTCCAAGTTCAGTAATGATAAAAGTGATGCACTGGGGCTTCCCTGGTGGCGCAGTGGTTGAGAGTCCGCCTGCCGATGCAGGGGACACGGGTTCGTGCCCCGGTCCGGGAAGATCCCACATGCCGCGGAGCCGCTGGGCCCGTGAGCCACGGCCGCTGAGCCTGCGCTTCTTCCGGAGCCTGTGCTCCGCAGCGGGAGAGGCCACAACAGTGAGAGGCCCTCGTACCGCAAAAAAAAAAAAAAAAGGTGATGCAGTTGATGGTTTAAAAAAAAATCAAGACTTTAGAGATGTCAAAATGAGAGGCAAGTGTGTACCAGAGGGTTGAAGCAATTCCGTAACTTGCAGGCCCTGAAACTCCTTGTAAATGGAGACGTGCTTTGTGAACCCTCAGATACGTTAGAAATTGAAACGACCAAATTTATCGCTCAAAGACATCACTGTTTGCGAGATGTGTTAGCGATGATAGAATGTGGGGGGAAAACGTGCATCTTGCAAACGATGGAATATGGTACTTTGTAGGTCCTAAAAGGCCTTGAGATTGGAAAAGGTTTTGTAACCCCTCTAAATGCTTTATAGACTGGGAAGTCCTTGGTAAAACCTAAAAGCCTTCTAAAACTGCAAAATACTTTGTAAGTTCTAAAATACCGGGTAAAGGGAAACAGAGTAAAGGGCTCTGCGATCTGAAACATACTTCATTAAACTTAAAGGGCGCATAAAAGGCGGGCGCCCTGGGCCCCGGGCTGAGGGGAGAGGCCGGCTCCACACCTGCCCCAGGCCCTCTCCCCGACCCCACCCCACGCAGCCTCCGGCCCCGTCCCCGCCCCTGCCCCGCCCCCACGCCCGCCTTACCACGCCTTCGGGGTCCACGAGCAGCAGGTGCTTGGGCTGTCCTGCGTGCATGCCGGTGAGGACATACTGCCCCGGGTTGGTGACGCTGTCCCGCACAAGGAAGTCCCCGTCCACTCGAAGCAGTTTCTCCGCCGCCCGACGGCTCATCTGGCCGTGGTACCAGGGCTCCTGCCGCAGCTGCTCTTCCGTGGGGGCGATGGGGGCCCGGCGGGTCGGCGGGCTGGGCCACTGGTCCTCCACGGGAAGGGGGGCTGCCGCCGGACCCGCGGCCACGGAGCACTCGTGCAGCCTCAGGGCATCCTCGAAGGGTCCTGTGGGAGAAGACCGTGCGGGAGGCAGGGGGCAGCTGCCTCCTGCGGGGAGGGAGGGGCCTGGGCTGGGGGGACCTGCTCCTTCACCTTTTATTGGTTCTATTAGTAACGCAATATATTCTCTTGGATTTTCTAAGCATGTGCAAAGAACGAGCATGTCTTTCTTTCCAAGGTGCACACCTGCTTCTTTTTCTTGTCTTGTTACACTGGCTTCCTTCCCAGTGTTTATGCCTCTTGTTTCAGCAGCTCGTCTGACCGCACTGGCCAGGGCCTCCACTACATTCTCCACCTCGGTGGTAGGCAGCAGGCACCCCTTTCTTTTCCAAACTCTTAATGGGAAAGCTCCGGACGGTCTTCCTAAGTTTCCTAAGGCTCCCAGCAGGCACCATCGTGACACCGTGCAAGCCAGTCACCCTCTCCGAGATGTGGCCGCATAGCTCAAACACCCTGGAGTGCAGTCGCAGCCCTGACCCCTGCCCTGACGTGTCTGTGCTCTGCCTCCAGCCACCTTCCACTTCTGGTCCCTCCGGATCACTCCTCCCTGACTCCTCCAGTGACCTAGGGGAAGCGGACCCAGCCTCCCGCTCCCAGGACATGTGACCAGTCCTGGCCAATCAGCATATTCATCTCGCACCCCTGGCCTAGTGGTTGGCTGGGGGATGAGCACATGACCCGAGGAGGGCAAATCAGAGGCAACCCCAGGATTTCTAATGGGCGCCTGGCAACAAGCATCACTTTCTCCACTGAGGTTGCTGGACCATCTGGCTGGTCACCCAGGGGGACAGCCTGCCTCAGAAGGAGTTCACACCCGGAGCACCTCCTTTCCCATCTGAAATTGCTGTGAGGGGCCAGCAGGGCCACAGCAGGTGCAGGTGTCATGTCACTACTGTAATGACAAAAAAATCGAGTTGTCGGTGGGGGGAAGGAGGCTTTGCAAACTGTGAAGGAAGACATTTCCAGGGCTTCTCTGGTGGCACGGTGATTAAGAATCCGCCTGCCAATGCAGGGAACACGGGTTTGAGCCCTGGTCCGGGAAGATCCCACATGCCGCGGAGCAACTAAGCTCGCGTGCCACAACTACTGAGGCTGCGCTCTAGAGCCCGCAAGCCACAACTACTGAAGCCCGCGCGCCTAGAGCCCGTGCTGCGCAACAAGAGAAGCCACCGCAATGAGAAGCCCGCGCTCCCAACGAAGAGCAGCCCCCGCTCGCCGCAACTAGAGAAAGCCCGCGTGCAGCAACGAAGACCCAACTCAGCCAAAAATAAATAAACAAACAAATAAATAATATCGATGTTGTGGGAAAGGAGGGTATTTTGGACCCAAACCTCCCCCATCAGGCTGAGCCCTCCCTCAGGCTGGGGCAATCCAGAGGGAAGGAGGAATGGCCTCCACCATCAGCTAGTCACTTTATCAACGTGTGGATTAGGCCTACCTCCTCAGACTGGGGGTCCCCCATTAGGCTGGGATTTCCATTTTAAGGGGCTTGGGCCTCCTCCCTCAGACCATGGAGTCATATGAAGACGGAGCTTAAACTCCCTCATCAGACTGGGGAGACCCAGAGATGGAGAGCTAGGCCTCCTGCAGACTGAGGCGTCCCACAGAGAAGAGACGCCTGAACGCCCCCCATCACACTCTTCCCCCATAGAGAGGGAGCTGGGTTACCCTCAAGAGACTGGAGGGTCCCACCGAGGAGGAAGAACCATAGGAAGCACACTTCCCCACCCCAACCCTATAACCTGGGGAGAAGTCCGAAGGGGAGGACGCAGGGCATCTCCCATCAGGCCACGGGCTGCTCGGGCCCGGCCTCCTCCAGCAGGCTGGCTCGCCCCCACTTACTCATGTCGAACAGGTCCTTCTTGGGGCTGTCCTCAGGCTGCAGGGGCTCCGGGCCGTCCAGACCCTGCGTGTTGACGTACAAGTGGTCCTCGTAGTCTCGCGGGCCCCGCGGGTCTGCCTGCACGTAGCCATCCCCGGGCGGGGCTGGGGTTGGGGAGCCGGAGGGGTGTGGGGTCAGCCGGGAGACTCCAGGGACGAGGGCCCTGGAGGGCAGCCCCGCCCACCCCTGTCTCCCTCCAGGAGGGAAGCCCCGCCCTTTTGCACAGCAGGGTCAGGAGTGAAAAAGGCAGAAGAAATACTTGAAGATATAGTGGCTGAGAATTTTCTAAAAGTAATGACATAAACTAATAACAGATAAAAAAATAAAAACCTCAGAAAACATCCAGCAGAATAAACATACACACACACACACACACACACACACACACACACACACACACACACACACACACCTACGCCCGTCTGCCAGGCAGGAAAGCGGCCAGGGGGCCAGAGCTTCCCAGTTTCAAGCGAAGGCAGGAACCCCAATGTTTATGTTAAATCTCCACGTTTAAAAAATAATAACAGGGCTTCCCTGGTGGCGCAGTGGTTGAGAGCCCGCCTGCCGATTCAGAGGACGCAGGTTCGCGCCGCGGTCCGGGAAGATCCCACGTGCCGCGGAGCGGCTGGGCCCGTGAGCCACGGCCGCTGAGCCTGCGCGTCCGGAGCCCGTGCTCCGCAACGGGAGAGGCCACAGGGGTGAGAGGCCCGTGTACCGCAAAAAAAAAAAAATAATAACAATAAAATTCTGCTCTCCCTGTAATTATGTTATCAGCATGATACGTGGTCAGGTCATTTGTTTGCTTGCGTTCTATTTTAGGCTTTCCTTTCTTTTCTTTTCTCAGTTTTGTTTTTGAATGTATAAAGCATTCACATGGTTCAAAAGCCACAACACTATGAAAAGGTATCCTTGGTGGAGTTTCTCCCCGGGTCCCTCAGCACCTCGGTCCAGATCTGCTGGATCCTCACCAGTTTGCCTCTGCCCTGTTCCCAAGGCCTCACCACCGTGTATTATCAGACTGTTGGATTTTCGCTGACCCGGTAGGTGAGAAATGGCACATCCTGGGGGAACTTAATTTCCATTTCTCTTATTTTGAGCAAGGTTCAGCATCTTTTCCTAGGTTCAAAGGACACGTGTGTATTTTTTTCCCCCCAGAAGTGTCAATCCATTTCTAAATGTCTCCATTTTTAATCGTTGGCAGGGAAATAATGACCTTTGAATACACTGTGGCCAAATGCAGCCCAAGGGCCCGCAGCCGCGATCTCTGCTTTATGCCAATTATATCCTTAACCCTCGCAGACACCTGGGCTCATACATCGGCTCCACCCTCTGTGGGCATGAGCAAGTAAGGTCACCTCTCAGTGCCCTCAGTATCCTCCTCTGCAAAATGGAGAGAATGGGAGTAGCTTCCTCACAAGTAGCAGTGAAGATGAAACCGCCCTGGGTGGTTGAAGGGGGCCAAGGGGCCTCAGCCCAGGCTTCCCAGTCTGCACAGAGGAGGCACAGATTCTCCCGGCCTCTTATAATCAAGGTGAAGTGAGAAGGAAGAAACCTGGGTTGCAGGAGTCCAAAGAGAGAAAATTTCTGGGCATTGGAGCTGGGGCATTGACATATTGGTAGGAGTTCTTGGCCAGAGACTTGGGAAAGGCATGATAAGAAGTGATAACATTATGTGCAAAGGCTCAGGGGTAGGAAATGCTAGTGAGCCCTGGGAGTCAGGCCTGAGCAGCCCATGTCCCAGAGAAATAGCTGACCAGGGCCAGATGACGGCTGGGCACCTGCGGGGCACCCAGTGCCACGCGTGTTCTTTAACCACAAGCTCCGGGAGCCAGTAGGGTTCTGATGCTCGGCAGTGAAATGCCCAGATTGTTTGGGAAGATCTAAAAAAAAAAGCCCAACACATGTCAGCACGGCTGTGAGGGAACAGGCAGCCACAGCAGGGCTGGTGGGCAAACACACTTCCCGGCCACATCGGGGAGCCATTTGGCAGCTTCCCTACTGTGGCTGACGTGTGCACTCCATCCACAGCTCAGCATCCGTGGGAGGGACACACGGCGGGGGGGGGGGCCCAAGGGGTCTGCCACCCATCAAGAGGGGGCCACGTCAATAAGCAACTCCAAGGACAGGGGACTAGCACGCAGCCGTTCAGAAGAGCACACAGACACAGACAGAGCCCCAGAGAGACCGAAGGTGCCCGCAGCCTGCCTCGGGATCCTGACTTCTTTGGGGGCCTGTTGGTAATAAAGGCTGAAAGGAGACACAGAAGTGCCAGGGGGGTGAGGTCACGACCTCGGAGCCGGGGCAAAGGGGATTTTAGCCTCCTCTGTCACTGTAAATGTTGTATAACGTTAACATTTAAATGGCTGAAAACTCTACCATTTTGTTAAAAGCTCACGATACCTGGTGGGAATGTAAATCAAAAGGGCAGCTGTGTGATTTGTATCACATGGAACAGCGGCCACTGTCCCAGGTACGGATTCTACGGAGGCCCTTGAACAGAGCTGAGGGGTGGAGGCTTTCGTGGCAAACACCTGGAAAGTGCCCAAATGTCTGAGCGAGGACGGTCCTTGACGTGGCAGGGACTACGCGGCGGTGAAAAAGAAGGGGGGCGACTGCCGTGCCCTGACGTGGGGAGGATTCCAAGCTGGGTTGTTACGAGGGGAAAGCAAGGTGGAGGGGTAGATAGCACGCCACTGTCTAAAAACCGGGGAAAGCCATGTACGTCTGAGTTGACTTGAATGTGCATGCAAAATTCTCCATGGCAACTACTAACAGCGGTTACCTGATTAGGGAGGTGGATAAAACAAATGGGGCAGGGGGACTGACTTTTCGCTGGATGCCTTTTTATACTCTGGTGCTTTGAACCACGAGATGCAGTACCTATGCCCAAAATACAAGGAACCTGGTCTGCACAGGAAAAAGAAAAAAGAAAAGCAGACGCTGTCAAATCTCTAAGAGCGTGGGGAGTGAATACAATCTCGCCGGTGAAAGTGGAGTGAGACCCAAAGAGTGGAAGCAATGTGAGGAGCGGTGGGGACCCAGGGGGAGGGCTGGGCCCCCCCACAGCCCAGAGAGCAGCCGACCGTACCTGAGGGGCCCACGTCCCAGTGCGGGCCTCGGGCGTCTCTTCGAGCAGGAGATGCTCCCTGAAAAAAAGAGCAAGGGGTCCTCCGGCAGTGTGCAAGCCCAGATCCCAATCTCCCACGGCAACCCTCCTGATTGGCCTGTAGCACCCCCTCTTCCCAGCACAGCACCCCAGTCTCCCACACCAACCCTCCTATGAGCCAGATTCGAAGCTCGCCTCTGAACCCATCCCCCGCTCCCTGGCCTCAGTCTGCCCACGCGCCCACCACACACCTCTGCTGCAGCCTCATGGGCCGTCCCCACTTGGAACGCCTGCCCCGGCACATGCTGTCTCTCGCACCTTGATGTACCTCCCCGCACTGCTCTCCTGGGCAACGCCTATTGACCCATCAGGGCCCAGCCCAAACCCTGCCCTCAGGGACATCCTCCTGACCAGGGCTGGTCAGCCTCCCTGGGGTACGTTCTCGTTATCCTCCTTGGAAGCCCTAATTCAATCACTGCTGTACCCATTTCCTCAATGTCTGCGATGGGAATCCCGTCTGAAGTGTCAAGAATAGGGCCGAGCAGATCTGGGCGGTTTGGGGAGGGAGGAAGGAGGCGGGGGCGGCACAAGAGACCCTCCTCTAGGATCCCGGAGGACAGGAGCAGAAGGAGGGGCTGGGGGTCAGGGCCCCCTGGGACGCCCTCCCCACGAGGTCCCAGAGGCTGACCTGGCCAAGGGCCCCGAGGGCACAGGGCTGCTGCGTGGGGGTGAGCCTGGAGTCCACCAGCCCGCCCAGGGGCGGTTCCTTCCCGGGAGTGCGGTTGTAGTAGCTGTGCTCTGTCTCGTCCTCGTCCCCCCAGGCCGAATCCTCCGGCCCGGTCAGCCTGCGGACACAGAACCAGCGGGAGCACAGGCCCCAGCACGGGACAGGGGAAGGGGCTGGCTCCCAACAGGGTGCCGAGGACTCCAGGCGGAGCTTTGCAGCGTGCGGCGGCAAGCCAGGCCCAGGGACCCTGACCGCCCCCCAACAACTGAGCGGTGGCACCAGGAACTGCTGCTGATGGAGGGTCTGGGTGCCCCTTTCTGTCCCTCAAAGGGGATTCTGCACGAGCCTCAGGGCTTTGGCCGAACCAAGCAGGGCCTCAGAAAAGCTGGTCTCCACCCCCTTTGCCCACGCCAGTCCCACCAGAGAGCCAGGGCACAGCGCCAGGCTTGCACCCAGAACCCGGAAGCCACGGCTTAGGGTGGCGACCCCCCTCAGCATTGAAAATGCCCTCTCCCTCTGGCCCTGGATGGCGCCTTCGAAATTTATGCCACGGAGGCTCATCCAGGCAAGGGTGGTTCCTAAGAGCAAAAGAGGAGAAGCCGCTGACTGCCGCTCAGTCAGGGGGGGACAGCGGGTCGCAGTGGGGCCCCGAGGAGGGCCCTGCAGCCCGGGGGGCAGAGGGGCTGGGCCGCCCCGGCGTGCGTGTGCGAGGGGCGTGCAAGCCCGTGCGAAGGCCACAGGGGCGTGTCCAGCTGTGCGCGCTGGCCTCTCATCGGTGCATATCGGACTTCTAAGAAATTCACTTATTCACTACTTATTCTAGCCAATTCCTGTCTGTCCAGATATTTAAATAGCCGACCGCAGGCCACTGCCTGTCTCTGCCAGCCCAGGAGCTGAGGACGGTTTCTACACTTTTACGCCACAGAACTGTTAAATGGCTAAGAAAACATCCGAAGAACACCATCTGATGACATGTGAAAGTCAGACGGAATTCAGAGTTTGGGGTGTCCATAAATAAAGTTCTGCTGGCACACAGCCCACCGCCGATCGCTCACACATCCTCCTCGGCTGCCTTCCGCCACAATGGCTGAGACAGCAGGGCGTGCAGTCCAGCCCTTTGCAGAAGCCCCAGCCCCCCCCCCGCCCCCCCCCCGTGCAGACTAACGACGACAGTATGACCGCCACCCCCGCCAACCAGTTCCCTGAGCTCTCACCTCAGCCAGGAGTGGGGATGTTTTTATCCCACTTTTACAGATGCGGAAATGGGGTCCTGGTGGCCGAGCCGTGGGCCACGAGGGGCACAGAGCAGGGAGGGGACAAGGGGAGGGGAGGGCAGGGCTGGCAGAGGTGCGGGGGGACGGGGCGGGCAGGCCAGTACCTTCCCGGGGGGACGACAACCCTGGGGGGGCTGTGCAGGTACTGTTTGAAGCGCAGCTCGAAGGCTTGGCCCACGGTGCTGATGACGCTCTGGGCGAGGCCCTCGCAGCACTCCAGGATGTGGCAGGCTGGGGGTCGTGGCGCAGCATCAGCGGGGCCTCGGCTGGCTGACGCGCTCCAGCCCAAGGGCCCCTCCCGCCCCCACCGGGCCTCACCTCTCTGGTTGACGGGGTCCTTGGCCACGTAGGCCACATAATCCACCATGTCCTGGGGAGAGAGGGCAGTGGGCGGAGGAGTCCCAGCAACGCGGGGGGTGGGACCGATGGGCACAGGCAAGGGGTCTCGGGGCTGGGGGGACAGAGGGGCCGGGAGTCCACCCCCAGTCCCGGCCTTACCGTGTCACCACCCGACGCAAAGGAGATGGACTGCATGTGGTGGCTGGCGATGATCTGGCCGAAGAGAGACCACCAGTCACGGGGCTGCCGCTTCAGGGTCGGGGGAGGAGACAGGGGCTCGGGCCAGTCACTAGACCAAGGCCACAGGGGCACCGGAAGGACAGGGGTGAGGGGATGAGCCATCCCCTCGACAGGACGCCAGGATGACCGAGAGCCCCACTGGACGGGCAGCCCCGCAGCCAGGGCAGGACGCAGAGACCCACGGCCACGCGGCCGCATGGGAGGACAAACCCGCCCCGCACTGGCGGGCATTCTCACACGTGCGCACATGGGCACCAGGCTCAGACACGTCACCACACCCCCGACACAGACACACAGACACGCGTGCTAAAATCCACACGCTTCCCGGTGCGCAGTTCACACCAACATCTGCACTTCACCCGAGGGCCCCCGTGCCCAGCATGCCTCCAGGATTCACCTAGGTGAGTCTGCAGACCCTGCCCTGGGCGGGGCTGGCAGAGGCTGGGGGGGGGGGGGGGGGGAGCTTCGGAGCCACGGAGGAAAGCATAGCAACAGGGGTGCGGAGGGCAAAGCGGAGAGATTCCCGCAGAGAGGATTGGTGCCAACCAGAACTCACCAGCCAGAGAGGCCTGTCTGCTCACCTGCCGGGGCGGGCAGGGACTGGGAGGCGCGGGGGGGGGGGGGGGGGGGGGGCGGGCCGCGCTCACCTGGTGCGTGGCGGGAACGGAGAGGTTGAGGCCTTCGATGGAGATGCTGACAGCAATGCTCATGCCTGCGAAGCGCAGGCTGCTCTTGCCCAGGATGGAGGCCAGTGCCTTGTTGGGGGCCTGCGGGGGGCACAGGGCACCAGGGAGGCAGGCCCCGGGGTGGCTATGAGCCCCCAGCTCGCTCCCGCCCGGAGGCCATGGGCCCCTCACCCACCTTCCTCTTCCAGGAGCCCCGGATGCCAGGCACAGCCTCATGGAGCCGGTTGATGGCTTCCCTGTGTGGGCGGAGGAGGGCGGGGGCTTAGAGAGCTTGGAGTGGAGGGAGCAGAGGCGCAGAGAAGGGGGGAGGTCAGAGGGCGATGGGCTGAGGAAGGGGTGCAGTGGATCCTGAGCGGGGAGGGGCTCAGAGGAGGGAGGAATGCTGGGGCACCTGGAAGCCTGGACCAGGGGCTCCGGGCTCCCAGCCACCCACCTGTGTGCCCCGCAGGTGCCCTGCCCTCAGCTCCCCACCTCCAGCTCTTTCTTTCTCAGTGACCAACAGACCTCTGAGCCACAGCCCACTTGACAGATTTGGGGGTCAGATTTGGGGTTGCTGGCACAGCCCCTCAGCCTGAACCCCACGTTCTGTGTGGCCACAGGCTGGCCAAGATTCCCGTCTGTGGCATAAGAGGATGACCTCTGCTCTGGGTCCCCAGACACAATGGCAGAACCAACCCTCCCAAACAGAATGGGAGAGACTTCCATGAAACGGCTCATCCCTGCGGAGGGGCTGGAACTTTTACAGGATCCTGAGGGTCAGATGGACACACAGAAGGCTCTCAACAATGTTGGTGCCATGAGGGGAACCAAGCCCTCACCCCGCAGGTGGGAAGGCAAAATGGAGCAGTAGCTCCTCAAAGTGTGAAGCAATCCCACCCCCAGGTGCACACCCTGGAGAACTGAAAACACACGTCCACACAAAGCCTGCCCGTGGGCAGCCACAGCAGCTCAAGTCACAACAGCCCGAAAGGTAGAAAGCACCCGAACGGCCACCAGCTGAAGATGGATAAACACAATGTGGTCCCTCCACACACGGGAGCATCACTCGGCCACGTAAAGGGGTAAAGCCTCGACACTCACTACAATGTGGATGGACCCTGAGGACACGATGCTCACTGAGAGAAGCCAGACACAGAAGGACACACAGGGTGTGATTCCATGGACGGGAAGCGTCCAGAACAGGCAAGTCCACAGACACGGAGTGGGTTAGTGGTTGTCAGGGGACGGGGAGGGGGTGGGGTGACTGCTAATGGGGATGGGGCTTCCTTTCAGGGCGATGGAATGTTCTGGAATTAGATCGTGGTGATGGTTGCATAACTTGGAAAACAGCAAAATACATCGAATTGTACATTTTGATTGGGTGAATTATATCTCAATAGAGTTTTTTAATGTCTCTGGTGAATGCACTAAGTCAGTTTTCAACATGCAGAACAATGTGGGCCCCTCCTGCCTCAGCCCTGGTTGTACCCTTGACTGTACATGACTCAGGTCCAGGCAGCTCGGAGCATCATGACACCACCATGCCTTCTCTGCACCAAAAAAAAGCCGGGGGCTTCCCTCGTGGCGCAGTGGTTGAGAGTCCGCCTGCCGATGCAGGGGACACGGGTTCGTACCCCGGTCCGGGAAGATCCCACATGCCGCGGAGCGGCTGGGCCCGTGAGCCATGGCCGCTGAGCCTGCGCGTCCGGAGCCTGCGCGTCCGGAGCCTGTGCTCCGCAACGGGAGAGGCCACAAGAGTGAGAGGCCCGCATACCGAAAAAAAAAAAAAAGCCGGGACGGTGGACATGCCCTGGTTGCCGTGGATGGGCTCCCAACCCCTTGCAGCCCTGCCCTGAGTCTCAACCGGGAGCCAGCAGCACCACCCCCTGGGTGCCAGGACATGCTGGGGCGTCCTCAGCACCCCTCGTGGGACCCATACACTCTCTGAGGGATGTGCTGTCGTCTCCAGGAGATCATCTGGGGTCCGGAGAGCGTGGGTGACCAGCAGGCGGGGACAGAGCTGGGACTGTGCCCTGCCCCAGATTGCTCTGACCCTGCGGAGCACGGCTCCCCAAGCCGGGAAGGGGGAGGGAATTGTCACCGAGTCCACCACCCTCACCTCCCAGCACAGAGCTACACGCCAGATCCCCCCACCCCCGCAGCCGGGCCTCACCTGGTGAGCTGGGTGCGAGTGTTGAAGTCCAGGGAGCGCATGGAACGGAGGACTTCGATGCAGCCCATGTACTGAGGGGAGAGAGCACAGGGTGAGCGCCAGCCCAGCAGAGCCCAGCTGGGGCCTGACCGTGGAACCCAGGCCTTCCCTCCAGTGAGCCCCCCGCCCCCCCTTCCCGTCACCCTGGGCTCCAGCCCCCGCCTCTGTCCTTATGAGGCCCAGCCTGGTTGCCACAGGGCCTTTGCACCAGCCAGCCCCAGCCGTCCCTTCCCCCATCTATTTGCGGACTGGTTCCTTCCCCAGCTCCAGGCTCCTGGTCACCTCGTCAGAGCTGCCCTCCCTGACTGTAAGGGAGTTGTTCCCTGGAAGCGGTGGATTCCTCCAGGCTCAGTCCTGGTTGTTCATTTAACCGTCTGCTGTTCACATTCTCTTTCTGCTCCACTAGAAGGTCAGCCCAGGAGGACTGGATGGTGGCGACCCTGTTCACTTCTGCGTCCCCAGGGTCCGGGACAGGGCCTGCGAGCAGGCGGGACAGAGGGTGTCTAGCCCGTGAAGCCCAAAGCTTTGACCGTCTGACCTTTTCCAGGGAGAGTGTGCCCACCCCTGCCCAGATTATCATTTCCACGGAAGGTAATTCGGTAATTCAAAATCTCCAAAAGACGATGCTGAGGGACAGAGAAGGCAGGAACAGCCGGGGGAAGGGTGGGGCAGGGTGGCCAGATGATAGCCACCAGCACCCTCCAACGTACTGTCTGCACTGCTGGGAGGGAACCTGGCACAGCCATGTGCAGCGTCTGTCATATGACCCCATTGATGGGAAACGTCCAGGACAAGAAAATCCACAGGGACAGAGAGTGGGTTCGTGGTTGTCAGGGGCTGGGGAGGGGCATAGGGGGTGACAGCTAATGCGGACGGGTTTTTTTTTCGGTTGATGGAATGTTCTGGAACTAGATAGATTTGGTGGTTGTACAACCTTGTGAATGTACTAAATACCACTGTACTGTGATTTAAAACGGTTAGTGGGGGACTTCCCTGGTGGTGCAGTGGTTGGGAATCCATCTACCAATGCAGGGGACACGGGTTCGAGCCCTGGTCCGGGAAGATCCCACATGCCGCGGAGCAACTAAGCCTGTGCGCCACAACTACTGAGCCCACGCGTCTAGAGCCTGTGCTCTGCAACAAGAGAAGCCGCCACAATGAGAAGCCCGCACACTGCAGCGGGGAGTGACCCCAGCTCGCCGCAACTGGATAAGGCCTGCGTGCAGCAACAAAGACCCAATGCAGCCAAAAATAAATAAATTTTTAAAATAAAATTTAAAAAAAAAAGGTTAATGGTAGGGACTTCCCTGGTGGTCCAGTGGTAAAGAATCTGCCTTCCAATGCAGGGGACGCGGGTTCGATCCCTGGTCACGGAACTAAGATCCCACATGCCACGGGGCAACTAAGCCCACGCACCACAACTACTGAGCCTGCGCGCCTCAACGAGAGAGCCTGCGTGCTACAAACTACGGAGCCCATGCGCCCTGGAGCCCGCGAGCCACAACTAGAGAGAGAAAAAAAACCCACAGGCCACAACTAGAGAGAAGCCCGGGCGCCGCAACGAAAGATCCCGTGTGCCGCAACTAGGACCTGACACTGTCCAAAAAAAAAAAAAAAAAAAGAAAGAAAGTAAATAAATAATGGTGAATGGTTAACTTAGTTATGTGAATTTTACCTCAATTTTTAAAAATATTTATTTATTTACTTACTTATTTTGCTGCGCCGGATCTTAGTCGCAGCACACAGGATCTTTTAGTTGCAGCAGGTGGGATCTTTTTTTCTTTAGTTGCGGCATGCGGGATCTTCACTGCAGCATGCAGGATCGTTAGTTGCGGAATGCGGGGTCTTTAGTTGCGGCATGCATGTGGAATCTAGTTCCCTGACCAGGGATCGAACCCAGGCCCCCCCGCACTGGGAGCATGGAGTCGTAGCCACTGTGCCACGGGGAAGTCCCCTCGGCTTTTAAAAAATGATACACGCACACATGCTTTGACCCTGAAACTCCACTTTGAGGACTTTATCCCACAGAAACACCAGTCTGCGGGCTCCCTATGTATGCGCAGGTGGCTGTTGGGAGCCATACTCCACCTTCCCCCCAAGGCCCCGCCCCCGCCGCCCCCCCCCACCCCCGCAGGACTGGCGCTGGGGCAGGTGCGCGGGTATTTACTGCCACCACAGCCCAGTGCGGAGTATGCCTTCCTATGCTGGCCCCAGGGTGCCCTGCCCCCCGGCCGCCTGCCCCTCCCCTCCTGCAGGACTTGCAGCACTGGAGGAATAAACAAGAAATTGAAGACACCCCAAAACTTGACACGTCTAGGGTTGTGAGGTCCAACCCGGGATGCCAGTTAGGTTCGAATTTCCCATAAACGATTAATATCTTCTTAGTGTATGTCCCAAATCATGCACAAAACATGCTTATACTGACAATTGTTCGTGTTCCTGGGAACTTTAAATTTAACCGGGCAGCCTGTACCTCTGCTAAACCTAAATAAATCGCGGTACTGGGAATGGAAGAGTCTGCAGTTGTAAAAAGAGCGAGGTGCCGACTAGGAGGCACAGTGCCTTTTGTGTGGACAAGGGGGCCAAGGAGGACACGCGTGTACACGGCATGCGTGGACAGTGTGTGTGTGTGCGCGCGCGCGCGCAGGCACACGGTGGGTGACCAGCTCTAGCAGGACACGGACAGGCACGGTCACCCGTCACCGGAGCTTGCTCCGCTGCTGCTCTTGGGACCCTGCGACCCTGCCGGGGTACCCTGCTTGATGACGAGACACGTGGCCCACCCCCATCTCCCCAGCTGACATGGAGCCAATCGCCATGTGAAGGAGACCACTCAGCCCCAGCCGACCCACAGCACCACAGGACATGCAAAGTGTTTTGTTGTTTCCATGCACTAGGTTGCGCGATGGTTTGTTACACAGCAGAAGCTCCCTAGACAGTGACCAGGAGAAGGGAGGGAGTAAGGCAAGTGAAGATCCGGCCAAAGGGAACAGCAAGTACAGGCCAGAAGCGGGAACCAGCTTAGAGAGACCAGACTCACTCCAGTGTGGCCGGAGCAATGAGAGATGAGAGGATGTGGGACCCTGGAGCTGTGATGAGGGGCTGGCTTTCATTGTGAGCAACTTGGTGGGCCGTGGGACAGCTTTAAGCAGGGAGGTGAACTGATGTGTCTCACCTTCATTGCATGGATGATAGACGATGTATGGATGGATGATGGATGGATGGATCGATTGATGATGGATGATGAATGATGGATGGATGATGGACGACAGATGGATGGATGAATGATGGATGGATGATGAATGGATGATGGACGATGGATGGATGGATGAATGATGGATGGATGATGGGTGAATGATGGATGATGGATGATGGATGGATGTATGGATGATGGACGACAGATGGATGGATGATGATGGATGGATGATGAATGGATGATGGACGATGGATGGATGGATGATGGATGGATGATGGACGATGGATGGATGGATGAATGATGGATGGATGATGGGTGAATGATGGATGATGGATGATGGATGGATATATGGATGGATAGATGGATGGATGGATGACAGATGATGCAAGGATGATGGATGGTGGATGGGTGATGGATGGACAGGTAGATGGAGGAACGGATAGACAGGTCCGCAGGGACTATGTGCCAGGCATGCGTTAGACATGAAGAACCTCGAAGAGAATTAGCTGTGGCCCCTGCCCCCAAAGTAGACTCTCACACTGAGTGGACAGCTTTGGTGGGTGCTGGCTGCTCAACAGGTACCCTCCCTCTAACAGAGCTCGTGTCTCCGTGGGGTGTCAGTGCTGCAGGGCCCCAGGGTGTGAGGGGTCTAATTCACCCTAACTAGTGTACAGCTCATTCTGGTTGTGTGAGTGAAATCCTCCCAGTACCCCCAGCCCCTCCCTGGGTGAAGTGGGTGCACAACTCAACTGCACGGGAGAGGAGATGCAACACGGGTCCCCTTCCCGGAGCGTGGAGAGCACACTAGGCAGGGAAGGTAAGCAGGTGACTGAAGCGAGTGCCAGGCAGCGATGACACTGATAAGCCACTTGTCGCATGTCGGGCCCTGTTCCAAGTGTGCTGCGCACATGACCTGTCAACCCGCTCCACCCAAAGCCCACACTACGCGACAACATGACCCCTCGCGAAACAGCCCCGAGGGCTCTGTAACCTGTTAGCAGTCACAGGTCGTAGGCGGCAGAAATAGGATCTGAACCCACAGCCTAGGCTCTGGAGTGGCCCCCGGCCCTGCAGGAGGTGGTGAATACTGCAGCAAACTACACGCTCAGGGGCCAGAGGAGCCCAGTGTTGCCAGACCACCTGAAATCTAGGGCTTTTGCCTGAAACACCCCAATTTGTAAACAATGACAAGGAATTTTTATTTTTAAATAGAAGACAGAAAAAAAAAAAAAAAAAAAAAGGCAGAGGTCAAATTCAGCCTTGGGCCTGCCAGGGAGCACGACCTCTGACCTAGGATCCCAAAGTCTCCGAAGGCCAGCCGTGCTGTGTGGGTGACAGCCCCAGGAGCGTCTGTCCACATGCCCAGCCTCACAGCCTGTGAGAGGGACCTTAGTGGAATGAAACCTCTGCAGATGCAACCAGGTTAAGGATGTCAAGGTCAGACGGTCCTGGATTTAGGATCGGCCCTAAATCCTATGCCACACGTCCTCACAGGAGAAAGGCAGAGGGGGGCTGAGAGACAGACACGCAGGGAGAAGCATGTGGAGCTGGAGGCAGGGCTGCGGCCCCAGAAGCTTGCAGACAGACTCTCCTTCAGAGCCTCAGAAGGAACCAGCCTGCCAACACCTTGATTTTGGACGTCTGGCCTCCAGAAGCGGGAGAGAATAGATTTCTGTCGTTTTAACTGCCCAGTTTGTGGTCATTTGTTACAGCTGCCCCTGGGAGACCGACAGAGAAGGCCGGGAGGGGACCCCCAAACGGTGGATTTGCAGCCCACCTTCCCCTTTGCCAACGCAGAAACACAGGCAACCCAGAGCCGGCCCTAGGATGTAAGGGGAAAACTGAGTTACAAGTGGGAAAACTGAGGCTCAGAGCAGGAAGGGGACCCAGCCAAGTTCACACAGCACTCCAGGGCAGACACAGGACGAGCACCCAGCTCACCACACTCCCCGCAGGACGCGCCACCCCTCACGGTGCCACAGGTCCTGTACCATTACTACTTAGCGTTTTCATTTTAAATAAACTCCATTTATAAACATAACTGAGTTTATTTCTGAAGGCAACTGTAGGAAACAACCCCAAAGTCCATAAACTGGTGAATGGATAAACAAAATGTCATCCGTCCACACACTGGAACATTACTTGGCCATGAAAAGGAGAGAAGCCCCGCCACTCGCTACCACGTGGATGGACCCCGAGAACACAGAGCTCAGTGAGAGAAGCCAGACACAGAAGGACACATGGCGTGTGATTCCATTGATGGGAAACGTCCAGGACAGGCCGATCCACAGACACAGGGAGTGGGTTCCTGGTTGTCAAGGGACAGGGAGGGGGTGCAGAGTGACTTCGTGGGCACGGGGCTTCCTCTGGGGTCATAAGAATGTTCTGGAACTAGATCATAATGAGTGTTTCACAAATCTGCAAGTGCAC